TTTTGTCATTCTAAAATTGATACTAATAGGATATAGAGATTTAAAAGTTGACAAATCTGAATTAATGATCTAGCAATACAATAAGGCAGAAAAAAGCGATTCGAATGAATTTTTTCATGCAAAATAAGAAAACAATATGGTGGATGCTAACATTGTCTCGTGTAGCTTTCTGAATAGCAATTCAATGGAAAAAGAAGAGAAAAATCTTTAATTGACCAAGTTAAGTAAAAGAGAAAAGAACACTTTCAAAGTATTCATGGTAATGTCACAAGAGAATAAATTCATGTTAATGAATTTTTTCTTCTGCTTCACATTGTCGTATTTAAAAAATATTTCGTCACCGCATTAGTTTCTTTTCAAGCAGAAAGAGTCAAATTCTTCAATGAATTTCATGCATCTTTCAGCGAGAAAAGAATGATTTTATCATGACAAGAAGTTTTTCATATACAACGATGAATTTCAAATTTATTCGCAATGTCGTCATTTAGTATTTAAAACTTTCAGCTAATTGCAATGAGTATTTTCTATTCAAATCTAAATTATTCTTTAGAAAGAATTCAAATGAATTGAAAAGAAAATAATGTCACAATATGTTTTACTTATTAGTATGTGTCCTATCGCAACTGTTGATTTAGACTCTATGATTACTCGTTTTAGTAACAATACACAGTAATAGAAAAATTTTTAAGAAAATCATCAGTACAGCACATAATACACTAACAGTAGTTTTAATATAAAATTTTGGATTCTAATCAATCAAACAAAAGAAAAATCATATTAGATTAATGGCACTGATGCTGACAGGTTTGATAGCAACAGTATTTTATTTGAATATGGTGTGAATGTGTCTATCGGGTATGTGTGCGAAGTTTCTAGAGAATATGGTTGATTTTTCCGAGCTAGACTCTTAAAGGATTTAGTCAAGATTCTTTCTGAATTCGTTCTTTTTTCTTGAGGAAACGGCTAAGTTCTGAAAAAACTGTTAAATCACAAATAATTATAATCACTGAAAAATTCTCTTGTTGGCTTTTTGATTAGACCTTGATTAATTTTAATTGCAATAGTTGATTGGATTATGGTATCAAGATGAATATCAGATCTTATCTAAAACTTGATAAAATCTTGATGAAATCATATCTAGAATTCATCTAAGAATTCTTAATAGGATCTCGTATAACTTTGAGAAAGTTGGGAAAGAGGACAGAATTCTGACAAATTCTTCCGAATTTCTTATTACATATCTTTTTGAATATTTTGTAAGTTCGAGATAAATAAAAAATACAATTCTGATAGACATTCATGTTCAGAGGCGGCAGAACGATTCAAATCTAGGGGATGCTCAAAACTTTTCAGGAAGCGATGGAAGAAAGAATTTTTCAACCTTCTAATTCTAACTCTCACTGGAATTTTCTTAAAAGATGCGCCATTGAATTATTTGTTTGGTCTTTACAGAAATCATTTACATCATAGAATTTCTCTATGTAATATCATAAAATGCAATTTAACTATACTAAAAACAATCTCTGGTCTGAAAGAGTGAATCCTCACCTTTAGTTAGATGTCTGTATTTGCCTTAATTTCTTCAATTTAATGTTGAAATTCAAGAAGATGTTGTTGAATTCTCTGTAACAACTGCATCACAAGGTCATATGGACCTGTTCTGATGAGTTTTTAGGAAATTGGATAGGATATGTCAAAAATTGCTACTTTTCTTTATACAGAAAGTAATAAAAATATTTGTAATATACATACATATTTCTTATTTATCTTCGCGCAAGAATTTTGAAAATCTTAATTTTTTAAAAGAAACAAAACGTTCTCCAAACTCATCCTAACCAATTTCGAGAGAGGTAAAAACAAAGATGTACAAAATAGAACAGTTTTTCACTTTTCCGAATTAAATTTGTCTCTCTATTTAAATAATTAATCGCCAAGTTAGTCAATTTTATATCCTTAAAATGGTTTTCGAACATGACACTGATCACTTTGATAGTGTCATCGTATTGAGTAACGAATTTTTGTACATTAAACTTGATTTTAATAATCATTCTGCCATTTCTGGTTCGTTCAATCTGTTATTATGGAGAAGATTTTCAGTTTCTCGCATATCTTGACTTTTTTTTTTCTCCAAAAGGTTTGCAAAAAAGCATTCAGGTGTTTATCATTTTTCTGTGCAAAAATAAATGCAAAATAGCTATTATTTCAAAATATGTTTGTTAATTACAACATAATTAGGATTAGAAATATTTTATTTCAGCTTTCTAAAATTCATTAAAAGAAGTCAGTAGGATTTTTTTCGGAGTTATATTTTAGAAACCATCGAATCGCATATTTTGAAAAAAATTTCAGAATTTTAGCATTTATTTTTGCACAGAAAAATGATAAACACCTGAATGCTTTTTAGCATTTTTGCATACAAAGATATATACAAAATAAATCATATGGATAACTTTTTTGAAGATTCAGAATGAGATTCGGAAAACTTTGTCAGAAGATGTCAACTCTCTCTCTTTAGCCTTCCTCTTCATTTTCTTGAAAAGGTTCGAGACTCTTCATGGCTAGTGATTTTGTTCTCTATGACATTATCTAACATCTGACTGAATACGCTCTTGATGAAAGAGTTTATGCTTACTAAATACAAGTTCAGGATGAGATCTATAAAATTTCTTCAAATATCTGACCCTCTCCTAGCCTTCCATTTCTGTTAATAGGGGAGGCTTAAGCCTTCCCAAGCCTAAGGACTCCGCCGCCACTGTTCATATTCCTAATCAATGAGTCTATTTCAGCATATAAATAGAGAGACAAAGCTCATACTGAAGATTCGTCCCATTTCTGTGCCACCGTACACATTCAGGTGCTTCTCGATACATTATTAGGAAATCTGCTAAAACATTTGGCATAAGAATCAATAATAAAAACTTATCAAGTTCGTATTTTTTTTTTTATTTATGTTCAAAATTATGAACCCACAAGAAACTATTTCTGATAATTATAGCGTTGTAAATTATTTAGATCACTATCGATAGATATTTTCATATATCTTTCATTTTTATTGACACAAAATAAAATAAAAAGTTAAAATAATGCAGATTAAAGAAAAAATAAATAAATCAAACTAGGGTAAAAAATTGGCATGCAGTAAAAACAAAATATTATGATTATTTATTAGTTGTTGTTGAGTTTTTATTGACAACTATTGGTGACTCTAAAACTGATGTTAATGAACGTCTAACTGCTAAACTTAGTATACCAACNCACCCATACTCGGGACTTATAGAAATATTCTGAAAACGAATCCTAGAAGCTGTTGTTGAATTCTCTGTATCAACTGCATTACAAGGTCATGTGGACCTGTTCTGATAACTTTTTAGGAAATTGGATAGGATATATAAAATATTGCTACTTCCCTTTATACTGAAAGTAGTAAAAATATTTTGTAATATGCATACATATTTCTTATTTATCTTCGCACAAGAATTCTGAAAACCTTGATTCTTTTAAAGAAGCAAAACGTTCTCCAGACTTATTTTAACCAATTTCGAGAGAGCTAAAAGCAAAGATGTACAAAATACGACAATTTTTCACTTTTCTGAATTAAATTTGTTCCTCTATTTAAATGATTAATCGCCTAGTTGTTCACTTTTATATCTCTAAAATGATTTTCGAACATGACACGGATCACTTTGATAGTGTCATTGTATTGAGTAACGAATTTTTGTACATTAAACTTGACTTTAATAATCATTCTGCCATTTCTGGCCCGTTCAGTCTGTTATTATGGAGAACAATTTCAGTTTCTCGCACATCTTTACTTTTTTTTCTCTCCAAAAGGTTTGCAACAAAACATTCAGGTTTTTATCATTTTTCTGTGCGAAAATAAATGCAAAATAGCTATTATTTCAAAATATGTTTGTTAATTCCAACATAATCGGAATTAGAAATGTTTTATACATCTTTTATTTCAGTTTTCTAAAATTCATCAAAAGAAGTCAGCAGGAGTTTTTTCGTAGTTATATTTTAGAAACCACCGACCTCACATATTTTGAAAAAAATTCAAGATTTTAGCATTTGTGCATACAGAGATATATACAAAATAAATCATATGGATAACTTTTTTGAACATTCGGTATAAATTCAGACTGAGATTCGGAAAACTTTGTCAGAAAATGTCAAGTTTCTCTAGCCTTCCTTTTCCTTTTTTGGAAAAGGCTGGAGACTCCTGATACCTAATGACTCCGTTCTCTATGACGCTATCTAACATCTGGCTGAACACACTCTTGATGAAAGAGTTTTCGCTTACTAAATACAATTTCAGGATGAGATCTATACAATTTCTTCAAATATCTGAGCCTCCCCAAGCCTAAGGGCTCCGCCTCCACTGAGTGGGGTATGGATGTGTAGAAGAGTAGATTTTGCTGTGCTATTAGCCCATCCACACCCACACACCCTATGGGACTTCAAACACCATTACACAGCAATTCTTTCTATGAGCTCATTCACATATCATCTTGTAGAGCTTCGTGAGTTGTACTCACAGTATGAAAGTCACAGTTCTTCAATGCTCTATTCAAAAGATATGACTATCGCAGCTGTTAGCCTTGTCATAGAACCTTGAAAGTGAACGAAGTCGTCTGGTCGGTAGTTTTTCGAGACAGATGGAACTAGAATGGATTCTATCTATGGATTTTGGTTCCTGATAGTAAGACACATCTGCACATGCAATTTTTCCTTTTATTTCATTTAAATAGTGTGATGTTCTCAGTTGATATCAAGGTTATGCTCTTTTCTGCAGCTCAAATTTTCTCTACTTAGAGTTCTTTTTTAACACTACTTTCAACTAAATCCTTGACTTATGAGAAACCATGTGCACATAAGATAAGGCATTTTTCATGAATAGATAAGCTTCGCATAGTATAAAAGACTTAAATGTATATCACAAGCTGAAAGTAGATAAGAACAGTACGGCCTACAAACATTTTTCATATATACTGTAGAACAAAATGTCCAAACAAGTCCGTGCACGAGAGATCGGCATTCCTTTCAAGGGAACTCCAGGTATTTTCAATTCAATAACGGATGTTCGTGGGGTTGAGGTAGGACATCGAACATTGATTGAAGATTCGGAACAACCGTCAACAGATCCGAAACCTATTCGAACAGGTATTACAGTTATTCTTCCCAGAGGAAAATCAATTTCAGGAAATCTTGAAGAACAACAAACATTTGGTGCATGGTACTCATTGAATGGAAATGGAGAAATGACTGGAACGACATGGCTTGAAGAATCAGGTTTTCTTGCGCCAATAATTGCAATAACTAATACACATAGTGTTGGAACAGTTCGAGATGCAGCCATTCAATGGATTGCTCAGCAGTCAACTGGATCAGTTGTGTCCGATGATGACTATTGTCCATTAAGTTTACCAGTTGTTGCTGAAACATGGGATGGATTTCTTAATGATATAAATGGATTTCATGTTCAGCCACAACATCTCTTCGATGCAATCCGATCAGCAAGTTCAGGTCATATTGTTGAAGGAAATGTAGGAGGGGGAACAGGAATGGTTACACATGAATTTAAAGGTGGTATTGGAACATCGTCTCGTAAACATGGCGAGTATACAGTTGGTGTTCTTGTTCAGTCTAACTATGGAAGAAGACAGCAATTAACTATTGCTGGTGTTCCTATAGGTGAAGAAATGTTAGATGAACTTTTACCAGTTCGTGGACGAGGACGACCAATTAATACTCAGGAGCAAGGCTCAATTATTGTAGTTGTTGCTACAGATGTACCACTCTTACCACATCAGTTAAAGCGACTTGTTCGTCGTGTACCACTCGGAATTGGACTCGTAGGAGGACGAGGTGGAAATGAATCCGGTGATATTTTCATTGCATTTTCAACAGCTAATCACCAAGAAATGGGGAAAAAAACAGGTTTAATGCATTTAGACGTACTGCCCAATGAACAGATGGATCCTTTATTTGAAGCTGTTACACAAGCCACTGAAGAAGCTATTTTGAATGCCATGATTGCAGCAAAAACAATGGAAGGAATACATGGAAATAAAATCTATGCTATTCCACATGAAAGAATTCGTGAAATATTAAAAAAGTATAATAGATTACAAAATAACTAATAAATATCCATAAACATGGTGAAACACGATTGGAAATGAGTGTTGAAGCTGNCACACCCACACCCACACCCACACCCACACCCACACCCACACCCACACCCACACCCACACCCACACCCACACCCACACCCACACCCACACCCACACCTACCCTCAAAATTTCAATATGAACTAGGACGATTTTAAACTGGACTGCATTTTAATCTGTCCTGCGACATATATGTCGGTTGGCGGTTGCCAAACTTTGCATGATTTAATAACTATTTTTATCTTCGAAAAAGCATTGCGAACTTGCCAAAGGCATCAGAGAATTCATTCAATCCTCCTTGACTAAGTAATCGCGCTTTATTTATTTTGAATCCTGTAATCAACGTGGAGAACTATGAGTGAGAGCACGCAGATAGTTCTTGGTTCAGTAATTACGTGAATTAATGTTAAAAATAATGACGAATTTAATGTCTAACTGAATCATGGATTCAATTAGTGGCCGGTTCGGCTGCTTTTGCCTTCTTACGGAATACAGCGCGCCAATAGTCCATGCGTCCTTCACACATATTCTCGTACATTATAGTACCAGGTAATCCAGCCCAGACACGATAAGCTTCCTGCTGCTCGGATGGAATGATACGCTTGATTACTTCTTCATGAAACTTGCTAGTAATATCGAGCGAATGGAGGACATAACTTGTAATATCAACCTTATCTTGGCTGAGCAATTCGCCACTCGCTGTCAGATAATCAATCGATCTTTTTGAACCATCATAATAGCAGATGTCACACCACAAAAATAATCCATCGGGACGAAGTACACGAGCGACTTCATGTACGAATCGATCAATCATTTGTGGACCACCATAAAGATGTGTTGCTTCTATACACAAAACTATGTCAAAAGATTCATTTGGAAATGGGAAATGTTTCGTTGCGTCAAATTCAACAAATGACAGCCCAGGTACTTTTGAATGATTTTTTCGACAAAGGGCAATAACACTTGGAGAGATATCGCTACCAACATAGGAACTAGGTGCATATTTGTTAACAAACCATGCGGCGGCATTACCTCGACCACAGCTCACCTCGAGTACGTCCTTTTCCTTGAGTGACACGCCTGAGAGCACCTATGACAAACATGATATTACATAATTGATGTTGTTGAAGCGTACAATTTAAAAAATAGATTCGATGCACTCAACAAACAACAGAGCATTGTCGACACCCATTTTTATGCTATCTACTTACATGAGAAAAGCATGTAATTATAAAATCTGCATTCAAGCAAGTTTATTTCTAAAGAAGTTATGCCTGTAGAAAAGTGGCGGCTTCGAAGGCGATAAGAAAAGATTCGAATCAAAACTTGCACTCACCAGTTTTATCGTGAATTTCAGAAAATGTCAACATAGTGATGTTTTAGTCCTGTAGACGTTTCAAATAGCACTGTATAATGAAATGATGAAAATATACGGCTCTTTCTGAAAACATTCAAAGATTTTGATTTTCCGAATCTAGGTCAAAGAGGAAACAGCGGATTTTTCGGATTTGAATCCGAAATAATCAGAGAAAAATTCCGAATCAAAGTCACCATGAGAAACTTTCTCTGATCATACTTTCATGTGTTTAGACGGCAAGTAAGCAGTTTTACAGCGTCGTAGGTGCAAGAAACGAGTGTGTATATAAAAAGGAGTCACATGCAAACATACGTGTTTCAGAATCCCTGGATGATGAGGAATGTTACGATCCTGGCCATAACTTACCTTTTTTGATTTTGTACTCTCTCCTTCGTGATTTCTCTTCGTTGTCCACTACAAGCTCTCTCTCTCTTTCTCTCAGTGCATTCTACAATTGTGTTCTCGTTTGTTTGCGTGACTTTTTTCTTAGTCTTTGGATTTTTCATGAGTGCATACACGCGCTGACATCCAGGGGCCGAACAATGGGTTGAGTTTCTGAAATTTTGTTCGTTCTGCGAAGAAAGTCAGAGCACGACCCTGTTCTGCTGGAAAAATTAACCTTTGCCAAAAGCAGGAGGCGAGCGGCTTCCGGTCGTGGTGGCCCTGCTCACATCTCTCTAGATGGTATGTCTCTTGTTGAATATAGCGCTCCTCTTTCGAATGTGCGTTGTTGATTTTGATATAGAGTGAGAGGAGAAGATACGAGAGAGGCACACGCGTAACCAGTAATAACGTTTGAGGGAGCCATTCACCAAGAGTTTGACCATTCTGTTTTAAAAAATCCTTTCCTTTTCTTCTTTCTCTTCCCCCGTCCATCGTTACCGGGAGAAAATCGAAAGCAGGTACTATCCATTTCAAATTAGAATGTAGGGTCAGTGTAAGCCCAATAGTTTCCGAACACAAGCAGCTATCAAGATGTGGTTTTCTGCATTCAGGAGCCGTATATGGGGCTTGTATGAATATATCGTTGAAACTTTCTTTTTCGACCTTTAGAGGTGGACGTACTCTGAAAAAAAAGGTGGTTTGCACAACCCCCCGAAAAGGTTCTGTAGATTTCTAAAAGCATCCAAATGTGTCCAAAGTCTCAAATAAAGGATAAAAAATTCGAGAGAACCTTTTGAAGGTTCTGCGTTTTATCCAATAGCGGAACCATCTCTTACGAAACCATTTTTTAGGTTCTGTACAGCAAAAAAGGTTTCGTGAGAAAATACGAAATCTTGAGGGTTCAGTATAAAACTATTTACCTTTGGTTACGAAACCCTACCAGCTTTGTACTAAATCCTAATGGTTTTGTACTGAACCCTCAAGGTTTCGTATTTTTTCACGAAACCTGTTTTGCTGTACAGAAAGGTTCTGTCGAATTTTTTATCCTTTGTTTGAGACTTTGGACACATTTGGATGCTTTTAGAAGTCTACAGGACCTTTTCGGGGGGGGGGGGGTGCAAACCTCATTTTTCTGCAGAGTAGAGGCGTATGTAAGAATTCGTGAAATACCTCTGGTTTTGCGGGGGTCGGGGTTTTGGTTTTTGGANAGAACCTTCAAAAGGTTCTCTCTAATTTTTTATCCTTTATTTGAGACTTTGGACACATTTGGATGCTTTTAGAAATCTACAGAACCTTTTCGGGGGGTTGTGCAAACCACCTTTTTTTTCAGAGTAGAGGCGTATGTAAGAATTCCTGAAATACCTCTGATTTTGCGGCGGTCGGAGTTTTGATTTTTGAAGTTTGAGTAGTGGGGTGGATAGAAGGTACATTTCCCTACAATTCTGTCCTATCAAAAAATATTTCTGTCTTCCCATTCGAAAGCTCGGCCTGAAATGCTAAAAGCCCTAAAGGTGACATTTTTAGTAGTTTTCACGGCTTTTCGACCCTTCATCGATGTGAAACTGCCTAACAGAGGGTATATTTGAAATCAGCGTGCAAAACGGCTGTCTCATTTCAGGTACTTGGTTTGTTTGTTAAGTTTATGAGAATAAACGGTTGAGTGGTATTTGTTTATGCATATGTAACAAGTAACGCTCATCGGATCGATTCGCTAGCTCTTTTCTGAAAGATGGCATCTTGCTCCACAAAATAATTCTGACTCTGGATTTTGTAAAAGTTTTTCAATCTTCTAAACAATTCGTCATTCAAGAGCGTCTTACATTTCGCCAAAATTTCTTCAATAGACTCTCTCTCACGAAGTTCAACAGTCATCTTCGAGTCGTTCGTCGGTGCCCCTTCGGGGCGCCACTACCGGCTTGTCGTTCTTCCAGAAACTATCTTATATTTATTAAATAGCTGTCTTTGAGCATTCATCTAACAGTTAAAGCCGGTCTGGTCGCACCGGACCGAACCAGAAGTAATGCCGAGCCGGTCAGGATCATATTTTTACCAGTTCATTGTGACGAAATTTTCGCTTTTATTCGACAGTTCTCTCTAATAGAACCGGATTTTATCTGCACTCCTAAGTCAAGAGAAGCATATTTGAGAAAATCTAAGTGAGAATTAAAAAAACATTCCGAGAACCGATATAGAAAAAAATTCAACTGATTTTTCACCGGCTTCGGACACAATTTCAACCGACCAGACCAGATCACTTGGTAATTTCTCTACCGATTCCAGCCCTCCCTGAAGAATACATTCGATGAACATCTCAAATATAAGTCTAGTCGTTCTTCGGCGCCACTCACAGCTAGCCGCTCCCACGTTTATGTCTCCTTGCGAGAATTCTACAAATAGCACTTGAAAACTTGGTCTAAATGGATTTCAGATTCGTTTTCTTCATATTGCAAAATATATGTCAATCCCAATTCGGTTTCAATTCTCGTCAATTCCAGTCAATCCCAATTCCAATTCCGGTCAATTATAGTTAATTCCGGTTCCAAGCCCAGTCAATTCCGGTCAAGCCCAAGCCAAGAATTAGGATTGGGATTGGTGGAACTCGGCAATGGTGCATGCCTAATTCATGCAAACCGATCAAAAATAAATATTGTACCCCTCCAGACACATTTGATTTTTCCTGAGAGCCCTAACACCAAAAATAGCACTTTGTATGCCATTTTTGCAACATCTATATCTCGACAAAGGTATATGCGTTTGACTTGAAATTTTCACTGTAAATAGACAAAGTTGATACTGAAGCCCAGAAAGAAAAATCAGTCAAAACGAATCAACCCCGAACAAGCAGTAGATATTGATTAAAACCTGGAGAAAAGTCATTTTTTCGGCATTTTGTTGCACAGTATATCTCTCGACCAGAACATTCTGAAGAGCTGAAATTTTGGTCAAACAGAAATCACATTGAATGTTCATTCTAGAAAAAATGTCAGCTCTCTATACCGTTGCCTTCGCTCAGGATAGACCCACCAATATTGAGCTTTTGACCAAAATCATGGCTTTGGGAACAGCCGATCTCGAGTAAAAGCGGGTCTCTGAAGATAGGATTGCGACGTCCTTAAAGTACAATCTGTGTTCTAAAAAAGTACACAAGAATTGTGCTGGGAGGTTAAAGAACGGATCTGGGGTCTTATTGGACTGAGAGCTCGAAATAAGGTTCGGGTTCGGCACATAGTGCCCCCAAGCTAAACGAGAATTCAATGAAAACTTCAGCGTATGAACAAGTTGCGATCGAGAGTACGATACTGATGCTTTTGGAAATTCATATCTGATATATGAATTCCCAAAAAACAGAACAAAATTCCATCTTACACGTGAATGTTCATACATAGGGTGCTATAAAAGTTTTTCGCTCTGTTCTTCGAAAACCCATAATTTCAATGCCACTGTTTTGTTTTAATACCTAAAGATAGTAAGGATTATGTGGAAAATTTCGGCCTTTGAGGTCTTATGCATGCATTCTTGTATTTTTTCTCTGTTTAGTAATATAACATTTTCTGTATGACTTTTGAACACTCACGCGAACAATTTCAGGCAATGATTTTACACGTAAATATGATCTCTATGTCAATGATAGAATCTGATGTAGGGTAAAACCGCGCTTGCTCAAAACGGCCTATACCGAGCTTACGTGTTTTCTTGGTTGTTGAACAGTCCAACATTTTGCGAAATCTGCTTCGCAATGAGAGTTTACAACGCATGTCGAAAATAGTGCGTGACTTATCTGAAAAAATTAACACATACATCGATGCATAAGACCTAAAATGCTGACATCTTGAGCACAATCCTTACTATATTTAGGCATCATAACAGAATACTTGCATTCAAATTATGGGTTCTACGAGAGCCGGGCGAAAAAACGTGTTTAGTGTCTCATGTAGAATGTTTATATTGTTAATATTGCTGGAGATGGCGAAGAGGTCACTGTTGATGACGTTTTTCTTCCAGAACACAATGGTTGTGTATATTGTTCGATCATAATCTCTGATTCACATGTCTCAATGAGGTAGGGGGCCTAAGCCACGGGTTTTCTAGAGAATCCGAAAAGTGAAACTATCATTTCGAAGTGAACACATATTTCATCGGAAAGAGCATAGTAAAAACAGATTTTCCATAAGTTTCATTGAGTTCTCATTTAGCCTAGGTGCGTTATGTGCCGAAACCGAACCTCATTGTGAGCTCTCAGTCCAATAAGGCCCCCGATCCGTTCTTTAACCTCCCAGCACAATTCTTGTGTGCTTTTTTAGAACACAGATTGTACTTTAAGGACGTCGCAATCCTATCTTCAGAGACCCGCTTTTACTCGAG